GGTCCGGCATGACCCCATAAACTGTCCCGACATTGATTCCGGTTAGCTTCTACATCGGTCTAGTGTGACCTCGTCGACTGTCCAGACATTATCTTCAACAACGGTCTGACACGACCATACAGTGTCTCCTATCCTATTTTATTTTATGTATTAGTCTATTTTCTTATTTTGTTACTCTTTCCAAACTCACGTTGATTTGTGTCTCTCCTCCTTGAGTTTGCGGGGGGCTATTAAAACCTACCACTACCACCTACTACACACCTATACCACTACCACCTACTCCACCTACTACACACCTATACCACTACCACCTACTCCACTTACTACACATCCACCTACTCTACTCTTCTATATATAGGAATCATTGTAAACATATTGAACATCAATCAATACTACATCAATTCTCTATACAATTCTATATTTCTCTTTATACATTGAATTTTAACATGCTCTGATACCAATTGTTGGGGTCCTGGTTTGTGCCCTTTTCCTTGATTTTGTGGTTGAAGCATCTTGTGAAGCCATGAAAATGGTGCAAATTTGGTCAAGAGAGATGAGTTTTGAAGGATTTGATAGAGATTGCAGAGAGGAAGAGGAATCGCTAGAGAGAAACGCAAAAGGGCTAAGGCTTGAAGTGACTGTAGCAGACACTGGTGTTCGACGAAATGTCCCAAAGGAATTTTGGGTTTGCTCCGGCGAAATGGTGAAGAAGAGTTAAGGTATGTGTAGAAAACTCCAGTGGACTAGGTTGAGGTCCGGCGGGCGGCTAAGGTGAGGTTGCCGCCCACCGGGGAAGCGAAAATACTAGGTTCTAAACCTGCTCTGATACTACTTGTTGGGATCTGGGATCCCGCCCAAGACCTTATAGAAATTATTCCATGCAGAAAAATACACCCACTCTCAAAGAGATACAATATTTAATGTGATTCGGCCTCAATGCCTACGTCCACGGGAGAGTAGCCGGTTATCACTATAACAATGGAGATATTACAGAAAGATTACAATAGAGGAGGAGCTCACACTCTCCTCACTCACCCACTCACCCGTCTCCCTCGCTCACACCGAGGGAGACGGTCTCTCCGCCTCACATATCTCACTCTCTGTGGTTTGCTCTACTCTCTCTCACTGTTCTCCTCTCACCCATCTTCATTTATACACTTTAGAATGGTGGATGGAGGGGCTGGCCAGCACATGGCCAGCTTGTGTCAACTCCTTCTTCACATGGCTAAAGGTTCTTCTTGCGTTGGCTTCCTAACATGGCCAGCTCATGTATGTTGGCTTTGCACATTGCCAACTCTTGCAGCACATGGAGAATCACCCCTCACATGGGGTGATGATATCCCACAAATCACCTCCTCAACCCATGTGAGGTGATCCACAACACACATTGCTGCTAATCTTGTCACGTCCAAATTCAACACAGTTTGCATCTCCTCACTGAGACGCTGCATCCCTTGAAAGCTAGAGATAATACACTAGAGATACAAGAGGATGAGGGAATCCTACATCCTCAACTCAACTCACACCACTCTCTGATTTGGAGAGAACCGCTGCTCCTATCTCCTGCAGATCTCTTCCACGCTTCCTGTCTCGGATGTCTTCAGCATAGTCTGCATCTCCTCACTAAGATGCTTGCACCCCCTGAAGCTAGAGATAATACACCAGAGATATAAGAGGAGGAGGGAATCCTACATCGTCAACTCAACTTACACCACTCTCTGATTTGGAGAGAGCCTCTGCTCCTATCTCCCACAGATCTCTTCCACGCTTCTGTCTCGGATGTCTATACCTGCTATGCTTGAACTTGCGCAACCAAGATATCCGACACCCCCTGATTGGATGTCCTGCACCCAACTGCTTCGATGCCAACACACTTTTCCGATATGCACCAACTTTGCAACTCCAACTGTGAGAAACTGTTCAAGAAAACCTTCTCTTCCAAAAAGCGACGCCGACGCCGATGCCTCAATGACTGCTGTGACCACCACCTCTATCCATCCATGTCTGTCGCGAAGTCTCTGCCATCACAAACTACTACTATAGTCAATGACTGGACATCAACGTGGCTCATCTTCCGTTGTCGCCTACTCGTGTATCTCAGATCTGAGATCTGCCGTTGTATATCTAAAGCGGTGCGACGTGTAGTCAAATTCTGATGATCTCACGTCTACCTCAAAGGACCGATCCACTACTGTCGCTTCTCCTTCATCACTGCTATTGTCTCGCTACAGTTCGATCCGCTGCCGTTGTGCCAGAAACCCACCTAATTACACACAACTTTCTGCCCAAAGAGTTATTCTAAACAACCCTAAATTTGTTGCCCCTATCCAATTCTTTGCCCGAAGTCGGAGAAGTCGAGTTCGAATCCATTTCTGAAGAGAGAACTTCCCCTCCGATCAGCTTATCTTCATCATCAGCATCAGCTTCATCTGCTTCTTCATAAGCACCCTCTCTCTCTGTTCACCAACAGAGGCAATGTCGGCCAAGAAAACAACTCCGGTGAAAACACAGTTGTTTGAGTCTCCCACCTTTTCCACCACACATTGTTTTCATTATCTTCCTCCCACTCTCTCCTATAATAATTCTTCTTATCATTTAAATAATCTATATCCTGTGCCCACCCAGACAACAATCTATCATCTTACCATTTACTTTATTATTGGTAGGACAACCATTCTTCTTTTCTTTTTTCTTTTATTTATTTATTTCTTTATTTTTTTTTATCTCCTTTTTGAAACCATCATCATCTCTCCCACCAAACCATCTTTCTTTTCTTTCTTTTCTTTTCTTTTTATTTATTTATTTCTTTTTTTGCTTCTACCACCGCCCACTCCATGATACCCATTTTTTTTTTTAATTATTATTATTATTACTCCGGGTTCCGTCCCTCTCATCAACTTTATTTTATTTTCTATCTCTCTCTATATATATGTACATTCCAACCTCTTTTGATTTTTCAAAATTTTCTTTTATTTCATTCCACCAAAACCAAAAACAAAAAAAAAAAAACTAACACAAAAACACAACAAAACAAATTCAACACCCACAAACAAAAGTTTATTTTCTTTTCTGCAGACGGCCACCCACCGACCTCACTTCTTCGCCTCTTTCGCCGGTCTTTTCTTCTTGCCTCCGTCCTGGACGGCCCTTGACGGTGTTGCCTCTGTGTTTCCTACGCCACCGAGCACGTTCACCCCCCCTGCTCCTCCACTGCAGCATATGGCGGACCTTCAAATCGGAACATCACGGTGGCCTTCCGCTTCAGCTCCTTATTTTCCGCCTTTAGCACACTTATCTCTGCTCGCGCATCCTTATACATGCGCTGGAGCAGAGCCAGTTGGGCGTTTAACTGCTGCACCTCATTTGTCCTACTCTGCAGCCGGTGCGACAAGTTTGTGACTGTAGTCATGGTCTCCACACATGACTTCAATGTATACTGATTGGCCTCAATATCCGATTGCACTGCTATTCTTTGCTACACAGACCGCATCGGAAAGTTCAACGGAGCAAAACCAGAGGCGCTTGGTTGAGGTTCAAGGGCCACCGCACCGGTTATCTCTCTTGTGGACTCGTTAAGGTCTGGAAAGAACGTGAGCAGACCACGGGAAGAAGAGGCCATTTTCTGGCCAACCGAGTGTTACAGAGTATCTCTCTCAGACAACGAAGAGTTTTTCAGAGGTTTTTAGCAGGTTTTTGTCTTAACCTCTGCCTCAGCCTCAGCCTCCATCTTGGTTAAATAGCCAAGGCAGACACGCGCATCGTGCGCCGCTCGGCGCTAGACGACAACATGGGCGCGCAAGCCAAGGTAGTCACGCGCATCGCCATAATGTCCGGCACACTTTTTGATGGATTGGGCACGCCTTTTGATGGCACGCCTTTTGAAAGCTTGGGCACACCTTTTGAGGGTGCGGCTTTTCCAACGGTCCGACATGACCCCATAAACTGTCCCGACATTGATTCCGGTTAGCTTCTCCAACGGTCCGGCATGACCCCATAAACTGTCCCGACATTGATTTCGGTTAGCTTTTTCAACGGCTCGGCATGACCCCATAAACTTTCCCGACATTGATTCCGGTTAGCTTCTACATCGGTTTAGTGTGACCTCGTCAACTGTCCAGACATTATCTTCAACAACGGTCTGACACGACCATACAGTGTCTCCTATCCTCTTTTATTTTATGTATTAGTCTATTTTCTTATTTTTTTACTCTTTCCAAACTCAAGTTGATTTGTGTCTCTCCTCCTTGAGTTTGCGGGGGCTGTTAAAACCTACCACTACCACCTACTACCACCTACTCCACCTACTACACACCTACCTACTTTACTCTTCTATATATAGGAATCATTGTAAACATATTCTACATCAATCAATACTACATCAATTCTCTATACAATTCTCTATTTCTCTTTATACATTGAATTTTAATAAAAGTAAGGGTGATTGCATAATAAATGTACTTTAAATAAGAGTTGTTATAGTCAACAAATAGGAGATGAAAATTAGAGAGATGTTGATTGGTGAAGGGTGGAGACTTGACAAATGTTATGAGGAAAAGTAATATCATACTATTCTTAGAAATGGATAGTTGACAAATTTATATATCAACGTATAAGATAGTCGTATGTACAATCATTTGACAGGAAAATCATATACAAATTTTTTTCACAATAATTTTTTTTAAATCACAAAATCCCGTGCATAACACAGATAATATGCTAGTATATTAAATATACATATAAATTATTAGTCACTGGTTGATATTAAAGTAATTTAAATTCTATATCACAATAGCGACACATTGATTCTTCAATTCTTATCTCTTTTACATTATATAAATTATTTATTTTGATATTATTAATAATTTTATTTAAAAAATGTAACTAAAGTCTGATTTTAATAAATTAATTAATTTAGTTGCATCCCCCAACACAAACTCAAATTTATGTGCAATTCAGACCTAACTCGAATTGGACTCAAGTACACAATTTTGAATTATAATTCAGAATTGAATGAATTTAGACAGCTCACAACATAACTGGAGTTGGACTTAAACAACCTCTCAACATATTCTAGTATAAAGTAGCATAAAGAAGCAATACCCATTTTGTATAAACTAAAAAATGAAGCATACAACAGGAACACCCCCATTTCTCACATGGATGGGTACTAAAAGATGAAGCCGGCTAGGTAGTGTCATTAATGTATCTAATTTTTAATGTCAAATTTACCTTCTATCTGCTTCAGTTTTTTTCACCCACTCAACTTTTTTTCGCTCAACTGCATTAGTTTTACAAATTTTATTACAGCGAGTACAACAGCCCTAAAGTATATATAATATCATCTTTGCCTGATGTTTGCAAGGACAAAGACAAACCCAATAAAGAGGACAACACCAGCAACAGGCAACACAAACCAATTCAATCTATCAGGGAGGAGGATTCCAGTCATCACCAAGAACCCAAATGCGGCAGAAAACATGCCAGTGTGCTCACCAATGCTTGCAGCGGTTGGGTATGCATTGCGCAACAACATCCCAATCATGGTGAAAGCGAAACCAATCAGCATGGCAGCCCCAATAACATGAAACCTCATTGAAGAAGACAATGGCGATGTTGATGTTGATGTTGATGGTGATGCTGATGTTGATGTTGATGGAGCCTGGAAGTGGCAAATCACCATTAACAGTAATGCTTGGAAAGTGAGTCTAAGGAAAGTCCATCCCAGATCCAACGCTTGAGTTCTTGTCTCCATCCTCCCTATGTTGTCCTGATGGCCTCTTGGCAGCAGCTCTTCACCATCTTCAATATCACTAGTCCCAGATTGCTGTCATGAAGGATATGGTCATGCGTATATTAGAAACCAAATGATCATGACAAATCACAAATAGAGGTTTTAATATAAAATCAATGTAACAGGTATGCCGATCCAATCTCGTCCAAATCACTTATTCATTTATGATTTCGATTTCAAAAATAGTTGAATCAAACTTAACCATGATATATTTGTTTATTATTCTTTACGTATTTCGGTTTGTAAAAACAAAATTGTAGAGGAGGCTACCAAGATTCAAATATCAATTTTGTGTATGGAATTGCAATATACTCAGAATTTTTATCATATGTGCAGTCCAAACACCAATTGAGAGGCTGTTTGAGAACAATTTTAAAAAGTCAATTTTTGTTATTTTTTTTTTATTTATTTTTAAAGTTACTAAATTTTTTGTTATCAGTTAAAAAAAGGCTAACGTGACACAAAAAGTAATTCTTTTTAACAACTTCTTTAAAAAATTAATTTTTTAACTTTTAAAAATATCAAAAAATAAAAAAATCAACTCCCAAAACCATACATTTTAATTCTGAATAAATTTGAGCGAATAGTTTTATTGATAGAATTGACATAGGTTGAATCAACTTAACAATGTTGTTTATTATTGATATGTTTTCTATTATAAAACATAGGAAAAATTAGAATAATAACTCCAAAATTTTTAATTCAACAACAAATTGACCACTAAAATTTTAATTTCAACATTATTGACGTTGACCTTACTTTCTATCCACTCCTTTTTACCTTACGTATAATCAAGAAAACAGTCTGCAACACGTGGCACACCCTTACAACTTGAAGTAAATTTCAATTTTTTTTTTTTTTTTTGGGATCAAATTCCAACTTGATTATTACAATCATCCTGTACTAATCATCTATCACATGAAAACCACACATATCAAGGTTATCGTACACTTGACCACCCTTAAAAAAGAAAAATGCCTTAGACCCCCACTAAAACCGACCCCCAGTGACCCCCAATGCCACGTGGCATTGGGTGATTGGAAGGAAAAGAAAAAAAAAAAAAAAAAAAATTTTTTTTGCTTACTGGGGGTGCTGGGGGTGCCCCCCACTGGGGGTCCCTAGCACCACTGCTTAAAAAAATGGAAAATTTATCAATAAATCCCATTTCACAAACTATTAAACCAATTAGTCCCAATTTTATTCTTTTGTTCGGATAAGTCCTATCAGTGGGGAAGTTTATTTCTTGTTAATCCTATTTTTCATATTTAGTGTAACTATGTGGACAGTTTTACCCATTATTATTTTGTTTCCATATACTGTTGGGGCCATCAATGTGATCCCTCACTTCACCATCACTTCACTATCTCCCACATTATAACTCTTCCTCCCTTCTGTCTGCAACTCACCCGCGCTTTTCGTTCCCTCCAAACCCTTCCACACAACAAAAAAGAGTAAAATCGAACTCCTTCCGACTCACCATCAACAACGACAAAGCAACGAACACGAACGCGAAGTTCCACAACAGATCCAGAATCACGATCGGCTTCGAGTACGCCCAATCGCTCTGCTTCTCTTCGATCTGCTCCGCCGTCGCCTCTCTTACCCTCAACTTCGGCTCGCGCATCATTCTCCGACTACCGCGGAAGCTCGGCGGGCGGCGCACGAACCGGCAGCTCAGGAAGATCTGATGGGTTAGCAATGGCGTCGCATCGATTAGCCATTGTGTGTGTGTGTGTCTGCCCCTCGTAATGTATATGTGTATCTGTGTGTGTATGTGTGTGTGTGTATGTATCTGTGTGTGTGTGTATCTGTGTGTGTGTGTATCTCTCTGTGTGTGTGTGTGTGTGTGTGTGTGTGTGTGTATGTATCTGTGTATTTGTGAGCAACGGTTAGATGAGGGTAATTACGTCCCTCACAATTAAATGGGACTAAACAGTTTACTAGAATAAAAATGGGACCAATTGATTCATAAGTTTACATTTTGAAATTTATTGATAAATCTCCCTAAAAAAAAACCCTATTGGCTGGTTCGGGACAGCATCACGTAGATGTGAATGTAATTGATAAAAAAAAGTAAAATTCAGTATTTTGTGTAGAATAATTAGAAATATGAGAGAATATAAGAGTTTGTGATTGTCTACAACATGATCATGCAGTGCCTCAAAACCAACTAATAATTTTTTCTCTTTTAAAAGTGGCCTATGCTTGATTTGACAACTCGGCTAAAAATCTTTTTATTTTTTCAACTTTTTGATTTTTTAAATTACATCACATTTTTAACATTTTTTTCAAAAAAAAATAAAAAAATAAAAAAGTCAAAAATTTAACTTATTTCAATTACATCACTCTTTATTTTTTACATGTCTTTTTATAATAAATAAAAAAATTAACTTATTTAATATTTTCAAAACAACCCAACAGACTCATCTAAGACTCCTCTCCATCATTTTTCTTTCCTTTTTCCTCCAACACCACTATAGTTACAAAAATCATAAAAATCAAGGCTCACATTAAGATCAAGACTCAATGATGATTCTTGAATCAAGCAACTCAAGCAAGACCCAACATAATTTTCAAAGAGTTAACCACCTGAACACTATGCAGAGTCTTCATCAACAAAGACCCCACATATTAGTCTGTTTCCATGACCCATAACACTTTGTAGCAGAAAATACACATAATAATCAAAACCCATTATATAAAATCTCAATAATTTAAGTGAAGCAAATCGATTTCTATATTTCGATTTTGACCCGATTATATACTCTCAATGGTTCGATCATAATTTCAATTTTTGTGAAACTTAGGAACTGCTTCGATCCTTAATTTACTTTGAAATTGGATTAATCTGACTCACACACTCACAAGCTTACATAAAAAACGTGTATTGACTCATCTAAAATCGTGACCTCTACTTGGCCCAATGGAAATTTATGATTTGTTAAATATATATTTTCAAATGTGTGAACATAATTGAATTATAACTAAATATGACAATGAGTTAGTGGCAATAAAGGGCTGTGGAAGGTCTCTTACCAGACACTGGTTCTGCTCGGCGGCGGTGGTTGGTGGTTGTTCTGCAGTAAGTTCGGCATTTCGCAAAAAATATGAGGCGGCTGAGGGAGTATCCAAAGATTGGCCATTTGGGTTTGGTGGGTATAGACCTAGAGAAGACGACAAGTCTCCTGATTCTGGTAAACATTCATCATGGATCTGCTGGATGGTTAGGTTATTAGCATGATTATCTGGTTTAGCAGCCAACGAGATCGGAAACATTGAAGAGAATAAACACATACTAACAAGGATGCAAGACAAATCCATCAATTGAATTTTTTGTATACCCAAATGAGAACAAAGAACAGCCAACACAGAGAGACTTGGGGCTTGTTTTGTATGGAATTGAAGTGCGGTGCTTCTTCAGTTCTTTTTTATAAGGGCAAATTACATATACACCCCTCGAGGTTTGGCTAAATTACAAATACCCCTGAGATTTGAGAAATTACGAATTTCCCCCTGAATGCTATATTTACATAAGAAATTAGGGGGTAATTTGTTATGAAATATAAACCTCAGGGGGTAAATTGTTATGAAAATACAAACCTCAAGGGGCGGGATGTAATTTCCGAAACCTCAGGGGGTATCTGTAATTTTACCAAATCTCGAGGGGTGTATATGTAATTTGCCCTTTTTATAAAGATGAGAAAAAAAAAATTAAAAGTAATAAATTAGGTATTTTAAACATATATATATATATATATGTGGGTTTGATTTCCCTTCCTTTGCGTGTATATTCCGAAGGGAGGAAAAAAACAGAAAAAGACAAAACAGTGGCCAGAAGAAAACAATTTAATGCTAAGTTTAGAGATGCTCTTTTAGAGCTCTAAAGCAATTTTCGTGCTGGTGTTGGTGTTGGTGTTAATATTTGGGGGTTGTTTGGTAATATTTTCTTAGTTGATTTTTTGGTTTTCTTTATTTTTTTAATCTGGGATTTTTTTTTTGTTTGTTTGATTTTTTTATTTGGCCTTTTTAGCTTTTGGCATTAGAATGAAAAAATTATCCCCCACTTGAAAATGATGCTTTTTTATTTTTGATTTGTATATGGGTTAGTATGATAATTTTGTAACTTTTTTTTATCTTTTTGTGATTATTTAGTCCAAATGGTCTGCCAAACCAGGCTTAGAGATGCTGATTGTGAACTGGGGCAGTTTGGGCACAAAGATAAAAGAAAAATAAATTTGTAGTTTTTATTTGTTTTGTTTGGTTACAAATATAGTGTTATGGAAATTTATTTTTGTAAATGAGCGGTATTACATGCACTCATTAGTGTACTAACTAGTGTATTAATATTAGTCATTATATTATTATTAACCCTACTCATTATACAAATTATAAATATTAAAAATATTTAAATTATGTCATATCATCAATTGATACATTAATTAGTGTACTAATTAATGCATATAACATAAATTTTTATAAATGGGTGAAAAAGTAATTGTAAATTTATTGTTAATCTCAATAAACTATAAATTTAACATGAGAGATCAATGTAATTTTAGAAACTATAACAGATTGTTGTATTTATGAGATACCTCAGGTGAGGTGTATGTAATATGAGATACCTCAGGAGAGGTGTATGTAATTAACTCATATTAATAAGCAACACCTTTACTTTGTATTTAACTTTTCCTCTAAAAAAGAAAAAAAGAAAAAGAAAAAGAAGAGGCTGTTTCACTAAAATAATTGAGGAACTCCACAAGTTGTTAGAGATTTAACCGACTTTCATAATTAATTGCGTAATATTTATTTATTTATTTTTTTTGTTACAGGAAAATCCTCTCTACCCTCCCGCAGGTTCAAGGCAGCGGCCCTTGCAGAGATCATCAAGGTGTCCTGTTAGCCGTTCCGAGCGAAGAGACTATAACCTGGGAACTTGTCCTGACCTCCCAAGACAAGCTCCGCTTAAGTTAGGACTCGCACAGCGAGGGAGCATTGAACCCACACCAAGTGCTGACTAGACAACTTAAGATCCAACCTCCTAACCAACAGTGCTTCGCCCAAAAGATTGGTCCAAGGGAGGAATTGAACTTGTGACATTGGGGCTTAAACCCCAAAAACCTGTGAACTTGTGACCTTGAGCATTGCGTAATATTTATTATTATGTTTTGATCAACAAAAGAATACAGAATTAAAAAATAAAAAATTATTGATTATATGGAATGAGAACAAAGTAGGGATGGGCGCGGATCGGTTGCGGTTACAGAATCTCTAACTCGTCATCCGTCCGTCAGATTGACGGATTGAAAAAAAAAATTAATCTGCATCCGTCCGTCAATCCGACGGATGTGGATTGGACAGATTGACACGGATTGGCAGATGGAGACAGATCAGTTTAGCGGTTTAAAATTTTATAAATTTTTAACATAATTCAACTTGTGCACTTCCTAAAATATATATATATATATATATTAAAATCACTACAGACCTCATTTAAAGAAAGAAAAGTTGAAATTTTAGAATATTGCAATTATTGCATACCTCATCCACATATTACAATTACAGCAGGTCTCATCCACATAAAATATTATAATTTGTGATTCTTAAAACATAAAAACAATTCAAATCACCAAAATCATGAACAGAGTAGTAGTAGAGATTGTATGTCTCTGTATTGTTACATCTATATCTGTTTTTGAAAACAAAAACCAACTAGCATATATCATCTTTTTTATTTATTATTTTTAGAGTTAGATTTAAAAATCAAAAAACATAAATAAATAATTCATTTACTTTTTTGAATTCAAAAAGTATATTCAAGTTGAAAACTCTTTTTCAACAGAATATTTAAACTATTTGTCAATTGAAAATGCAATTAGAATATCTAAACGAATTGAAAATATAAAGTCTTATAAATTACTATGGGTGCTTGCGGTTTGGCGATTAGGTTGTGGCCAAAGGAACCTCAAATCCGTCATCCGTCCAAAACTAGGCGGATTGAAAAAAATCAATCTGCAACTGTCTGCTTGTTATCACACATCCGTCTAAAATGCGGTGGATCGGTTCGGTTCGATCGGTTTGGACGGATCAGAATATCCGTTGCTCACTCCTATTTGCTATTGTGTAGCTCAAACTATTTAAAGTGAAGCCAAAGGACTTGGTCTATGTTATTTATTTATTTTTTGTTTTTTAAATTAAAATACTCTGTATCTGTTAAAAGAGCATAATCTTTAGGAACCTCATGAATTCGAAGTCCTCAATTCTAGCAGCTTATCTCTTGCATCTTTTTAGAAATTTTGTGATATTTACCAAGTGATGGGGGTGTTGTAACTATTCTAGGTCAAACGTTAATATCCTCCCCCATAGGTAGAAAACTATATGAATTATGTTTTTTTTACATGTACCAAAAAATAAAGTATTTTTTATCTTTAAAAAGTATTTTTTTGTTGTTGTGTATTTAAATTAGTATCAGAGTTTGGTTATCAGTTTTGTCAATAAAATTTTATTAGATAGAGTTTTTTACGAATTTATAATACTTATGAGCTTATATTTTATTTTTGTAATTATTTTAGGGACTAAATAAATTTAAATTAAATACTTTAGGGACTTAATAGATTCAATTGATAGTTTAGGAACTAAATAAATTTTAATTTACATGTATCAAAAAATAAAGAATTTTTTTTCTTTAGAAAGTCTCTTTTTTTTTGTGTTTAAATTAATATTAGAGTATGGTTCTCAGTAAATTTTATTAGATAGTCTTTTACGAATTTATAATACTTATGTGCTTATATTTTATTTTTGTAATATTTTCAAAGACTAAATAAATTTGAATTAAATACTATAGGAATTTAATAGATTTAATTGATAGTTGAGGGATTAAATAAATTTTAATTTATATACTTTAAGACTAAGACCCCGTTTAGTGGAGCTGTGGAAAAGTGATTATAGATTATAGCTTAACATATCATAATTTATAGCTGTGAACATAAGCTGTTAATCTATTTGGTGCAGTTGTAGGATTATAGATTTAAACAGCAGAGTAGTGTTTGGTTGATAATTTGTAAAATATCTTTTTATTGTATAATTATCCCTTTTGCCCTTATATGATATAAAAATGATAATTTTGTCATTTTTTTTTCAATTTTAATTTAAAAAAATTATTTCATTAATAAAAGTTAATATAATTAGTATTAATTAGTATCAATTAATATAAAAATTGATACATTTGATAAAAATATAATGAAGTATTATTGTAACAATTTTTTTCATTATAAATTTATTAGTATCAATTAATTGTTTAATTAGTATTAATTAATACTAAAATTATTAATTAGTATTAATTAATGGCTTAATTAATCTCAATTAATACTAAAATTATTAATTAGTATCAATTAACACTTTTCAGAAAATTCTACTATTTTTGGTTTCACTTTTCAAAAAACACTTTTAAGAAAATTTTACTTTCTTATTTTCCGTGTTTTTTTTTTATTGATTTTTTTAATATTTTAAGCAATTTTTAAAATTTTTAGACATACCTAACTTAGATGTATCTAAAAAATAAAAATTTTGTGAAGAAAGCCTTTTAAAAATTCACTAAATACCTAAAATACAAAAAAATATGAGAATTTAGTATATTTTTTGTATTTTTATGTATTTATTAATTTTTTAAAATATTTTTTCACAAATTTTTTACTTTTTAGATACATCTAAGTAAGGTA